GTCCTTTGCTGGAGATGATTGTGGAGGCATGCATGATGGAAAACTAGGAATCAGCATGGGCCTACTTTTTTTCTGCAATGTGCACAGAGCAGCTCTTTCCAGTTTCAGTTTCCAGTACAGTTTCCAGTACAGTTCTTGCTCAAAGCATGTGGCAAGTCAGTTATTGTGTAAGTGTGTGGATAAGCTGCATTCGTCTCACTCAACTTTCACTTATTTCCTCAGACTTTTGAAGGGAATTTGACCACAAAACCTATCAACGGAGCCATTTTCATCTTCAATCCCAGGACCGGACAGCTCTTCCTGAAGATCATCCATACATCTGTGTGGGCAGGACAGAAGCGTCTGGGACAGGTGGGGCCTGCCTGCTTTTTGTTCTTTGGGCAGTGAGGCAGGGCTGGGCTCTGGTTTCTTGGAATACACAGTTGAGTAGAAGGCATCGTGAGGGTGTTTAGCTTCCCACCTCCCAACAGGTTTGGAGCTTCAATTGTCCGTGTGTAACGTGTGCTCTGGCAAACGTTTGCATGGGATAAAGAAGTAAGAATGCAGGCGTTGATGTTGCAAGGTTTTTGAGGCTCTGGGGTGTACAGAGCCTATGTCGACAAGCAGGACTTGAGAAACAGCGCTGTGCTGACTGTTACAGCAAATCACATTGCTCTTGGACGAACATCCAGTGCAGCGAAAAGACACTGAGGTGTTGAAGCCAGGGAGGTGGTGTAATCAGCTGTTTTGTCTCAGCCAGTCAGGAGTAACTGAGCTCCAGGAATGGGAACTGCCCTCTGTGACCGGTGAGAGGGAAATGCTCGGCCTTGTCACTGATCTGAAACAAGCCATACATTTCTGATGTATTTTTAGGATTTGGTTTGAGCCTCTCTCATTCTCAGAAGTATGGAGACTTTGCTGTGAGCAGGGAGATATTCTTCTAACCCTGCTGTCTTTTTATAGCTGGCCAAGTGGAAGACTGCAGAAGAAGTGGCTGCCTTGATTCGATCAGCTTCCCGTGGAGGAGCAGCCTAAACAGATCATAGTGACTCGAAAGGGCATGTTGGACCCACTTGAGGTAACAATGTGCACACTGTTGTTTAGGGACGTTGTAAAATCATTGTGAGGTTGCAGAACTGTTCTGTGCTTCCCGTGAAAGTCTTAATATGGACCAATGTTCTGCAACAGTTGTGAGTTAATTCCTTTTCTCAATAAACTCCAGGTGCACTTGCTGGATTTCCCCAATATTGTGATCAAAGGCTCAGAGTTGCAGCTGCCTTTCCAGGCCTGTCTGAAAGTGGAGAAGTTTGGTGATCTCATCCTGAAAGCTACTGAACCCCAGATGGTTCTCTTCAATCTCTATGATGACTGGCTGAAAACAATCTCTTCCTACACGGTGAGGACATGCGTAGTCTGTATTTTGCTTTGCCACCGATACACAAACCAAAAGCCAATGCTCTTAGTCTGCGAGGATTTTTCTTCAGATTGATTCCACTGGCGCTTCTCATGTATTGTTGGTGTGCCCAAAGAGAGGAGTGGTGTGAAAGGGAGAAGAAAAAAAAAACACGCATTTTCTAACTAACTGCATCTTTTTTCTTCTCTAAGGCATTCTCCCGCTTGATTCTGATTCTCCGGGCACTGCATGTGAATAACGATCGAGCCAAAGTGATTCTGAAACCAGACAAGACGACCATAACAGAGCCTCACCACATCTGGCCAACCCTGACAGACGAGGAATGGATCAAGGTGGAGGTGCAGCTGAAAGATCTGATCCTTGCTGACTATGGCAAGAAGAACAAGTAAGCCACTGTCCTGCTGCAGTAATCCTGTCAGCCTTTCCTTCCTGCTCTAAATACCGTGTGGCCTGAGCACTCCTTGTGCAGATAGAAGACTTTGAAAGGCTTTTGGCAATGAACTGTCAGAGTTGTAGGGAAATTAGTTATATTAATCGCTTTCTGGAAAGGCAGGTAAAAATACTTGATCTGTGATTTCTGATCTGTGCATTGTGCGATTTGGTCCTTCCTCTTGTCAAAAATGTTTTGGTTTTGTTTTTCGTAGTGCCCTGACTGTGTTCCAAGCTTGTGCCCCCATGAGAAGGGTCTGGTGTGTATTTTTGAAGTGCCTGACTTGAGTGAATTTTATCTTTCAGCGTGAATGTTGCATCCCTGACACAATCGGAGATCCGAGACATTATCCTGGGCATGGAGATCTCTGCCCCCTCTCAGCAGAGACAGCAGATTGCAGAAATTGAGAAGCAAACCAAAGAGCAGTCGCAACTGACAGCCACGCAGACCCGCACCGTTAACAAACATGGGGATGAAATCATCACCTCCACAACCAGCAACTACGAAACCCAGACTTTCTCCTCCAAGACTGAGTGGCGAGTCAGGTAGGGAGGCAGGCAGCAGTGGAAAAGGTCAGAGTGCTCAGGAAGGACCTGTGCACCCTGTAACAGTTGTCTCCTCTTCACAGAGCAATTTCAGCTGCCAACCTCCACCTGAGAACGAACCACATCTACGTTTCATCAGACGATATAAAGGAAACAGGCTACACGTACATTCTTCCCAAGAACGTGTTGAAGAAATTCATCTGCATCTCAGATCTGCGGGCCCAGGTGAGTGTGCAACAAGCCTGTTGTGGTGGTTCTCCGTGCTGCTGGGTCGCACACCCATCCTGGGCAGTCAGCTCCTGGGGAGAGGGCTTGGGAGCTTGCTGCTGTCTCTAGGCTGGAGGTAGACACCGTTGATACTGGCTGAGAAAACTTCAGTTCTAGTCATGTCCTGAAGGCTCCCTTTGGACAGACTTGGGAGGAAACTCAGCACAGAACAAAACTCTGATCTTCTCTTCTAGTGAGGATCTGCTGAGCAAGAGATACCTGCCACAGGACCTAAGAACAGGCCCACTGACCCTTACGTGGTTATAGGAAGTTCTCTTCTGGGCTCATAAAGTGTTTTTTTGTGTTCCTAGATTGCCGGTTACCTGTATGGAGTGAGCCCTCCTGACAACCCTCAAGTGAAAGAGATTCGGTGCATCGTGATGGTGCCCCAGTGGGGAACACACCAGACCGTGCATCTCCCGGGGCAGCTGCCGCAGCACGAGTACCTCAAGGTGAGCTGAGCTGCTCCCAGGGAGGGTGGAAGATCACCCTCTCCTTAACAGAGACCTAAGGCGATGGAGGAATCTTGCTGCCACGCTCAGCCCCGATGCACTCACCTCAGTTACCTCTGCAGGGTGCCCTTGTTCCGTTGTGGATGTAGAGCTTCAGTGGCTCAGCCTGAAGTCTGCCTGGTCTGGGATCAGGTGGAAGGGAGAAGCCTGTAGTCCCCGTGTACCTTGTACCGTGCTTGAAGCTGTCTTGTTTTTAAACAGCTTTTGCTTCTCTCTTGGCTTTCAGTTTCTTTTTGTAAAGTCACTGATTTTCACTGATTTTCACTTTCTTTTTATCAGGAAATGGAACCTCTGGGGTGGATTCACACCCAGCCCAATGAGTCCCCGCAGCTGTCACCACAGGATGTCACCACCCATGCCAAGGTCATGGCTGACAACCCCTCCTGGGACGGGGAGAAGACCATCATCATCACCTGCAGGTGGGAGGCAGCAGGGCTTCTGTGTCCCCTCTGCCAAGGCGGAGAGAAGCCAGGCTGCTGAGGGTGCAGCTCTTGGGAACACGTTGAAGTCTCAAACTAAAAATTTGGCAGAAAGGGGAGCATTTGCTCATTTCTTGTTTCCCTCTGTCCCCGATTAATCTGACTTGCATCATCTCTCTGCTCTCCTTTCAGTTTTACCCCGGGCTCCTGCACCCTGACAGCCTACAAACTGACCCCAAGCGGCTACGAGTGGGGCAGGCAGAACACGGACAAAGGGAACAACCCCAAGGGCTACCTGCCATCCCACTATGAGAGGGTGCAGATGCTGCTCTCGGATCGCTTCCTCGGCTTCTTCATGGTTCCAGCGCAAGGATCCTGGAACTACAACTTCATGGGTGAGCCCCGGGAAGGGGACAGGAAGGGAGGCAACGCAAACAGCTTGGGGAGGAGAAGGAAATGGCTCCTTCGGCGAAGCATTCCTCACGTGTTGTGAAGCTTGACCTTCCTCTGAGCAGCTGGCAGGGATACCAGCATTGTGGTCTGACCTTTCCTTGGTACCAGTGCAGGGATGTCAGTTCTTAATGATTTGAGGCAGCAAGAGGGCAAACTCTGATGCAGGAGAGAAATCAGACAGTGAGACCATTTTGTGTTTCCGGATTGTAAGTGTCTGGTGGATTGCCACTGAATAATTAATATCTGTCAGGCAGAAGAGATGATGATGGGAGAGGGAAGCTGTGCCCAGTAGGGGAGGGTAGCAGGGAGCCCTGGTAGGAGGACATGAGCTTGGTGAACCATAGCCACAGAAGGGGTCAGGAAATGAAGAGGCTGGCAGACAAAATGCTTGGCTTACTCTAGAGGAAAGCACTGCGGGGGCATTGTAAGCCTCTGGGGGAGGGAGCCACGGAACACAAAGTGTGGAGACTTGTGGGTTTAAAACTTCTTCCACACTCTGCTTAAGAATCCTCTTGGGAGGGCAGAGGGCTTCGTTAAGCTCCTGATTGATGGGGAGGGCAAGAGGGCTTTCAGATGGGGATGGGAGGGAGCTGAAGGTAGAAGCTCTGGCTCAGCTGCAACTCTCTCTTCCAGGTGTTCGCCACGACCCCAACATGAAGTACGAGCTGCAGCTCGCCAACCCCAAGGAGTTTTACCACGAAGTCCATCGCCCCTCTCACTTCCTCAACTTCGCCCTGCTGCAGGAGGGGGAGGTTTACTCCGCCGACCGGGAGGACCTCTACGCCTAGCCCTGCTCCCCCCGGCACCCTTAGTACTGTTGATATTCAACAGCCTCCCCCTGCTTTTCCCACCCTCACACCCCCCTCGTCCCCCGTTCACCCCGCACGCGTTGTCTCGGTGGTTGTACCGTCTGTAGAGTGGCTTTAATAAACTTTTTTTTTTTTTTAACCAAGGTGAACGCCTCACTAGGGCAGCCCCGGACGGGGCGGGACGGGGCGGAGCGAGCGCGGGGCCCCGCGTCCGGTGCTGGTGGCGGCGGTGACGGGTGACGGTGGTGGCCGATGGCGGAGCCTCCGCGGGGCGCCGAGCCCCTGTGGCGGACGCCTCCGGGCCGCTTGGCCCCACCGCACGTCTACCGCATGGCCAGCGCCTTGGGCGCCGAGCTGCGCCGCCTCTCGGGCCGCTTCGGGCCCGACGCCGTGGCCGGCTTGGTGCCGCCAGTTGTGCGGCTGCTGGAGTTGCTGGAGGCGCTGGTGGCCCCGGTGACACCGGCGGGTTCCGAGGGTGAGGGGCAGCAGGACGCGGAGGTGAGCATTGATGGGATCCCCGGGGGGGAAGCGGTGGCCTGTCCCCCCTGTCCCCTTCCTGGTGGCACCCGGCCAGGGGCCCTTTGGCCCTCTGGGGAGGTGCTGACCCCTCTGCTATGTCCCCGAGGGCAGGTGGCTGCATGGCCTGGCCCTTCTTCCTCCGTGGGTCCCCTCCGTGGTGGCCGTTGTCCTTGTAGGAATCCCCTGGGGGACGCTGCTGTCCCCTCGGGGTCAGCTCACACCCACCCGGCTGTGTCCTGTCCCCCAGCCCCTTGGGGTGGCCCTGACCCCGCTGTCCCTGTCCCCCAGGACCTGGAGCAGAGGCTGTGGGAGGCCGAGCGCCGGGAGCGCGCCCTGCACGGCCGCCTGGCCCACCTGGAGGAGCAGAACCAGCAGCTCCTGGGGCAGCTCGCCGAGAGCCAGTCCCAGGAAGGTGGGTGTCCCTGCGGGCTCGGGGTGGCCCTGCCACCACCGGCTGTCCCTGTGGGTGCCCCTGTCCTACCAGAGAGTGTGAGTGGTGGCTGGTGTGAGCCACAGGACCCCTCAATCCCCTGATTTTATGCACGGGTGAAGGGTTTGGGACAGAAAATATTCCTTGCGTGGGCTGGGAGGAGCTCGTGCCAGGGAGGTGGAGGCGCCCGCAGGCTCTGGGATCCCAGGGGGTGCCAGGAGGGTGGTGGGGATGGACGCAGGGTGCCAGCACGGGGGTGTCCCCGGGTCCTGGGAGCTGCTCACGGCCATTCCCCTGGGTCTGGGCGCAGACAGCACGGCGAGGAAGGAACGAGAGGTGATGCTGCGGCTGAAGGAGGTGGTGGACAAGCAGCGGGACGAGATCCGTGCCCAAGCCCACGAGATCGTCTGCAAGAGCCGAGACACGGAGGCGGTGAGCGCGGGGGAGCTGGAGGACGTGAAGGGCCTCGGGACCTGCTTCCCTGTCCCCTCCCCGGGGCCGGTGTCACAAGCCTGCTGGGGCAGATGCCTTTCCCACGCCGTGCAGGCGCTGGTGGCCCTGGTGGCGGCCGAGCGGTGTTGTTGTGGCTCACTTGGGGCTGCCGTGGGCTTTCCAGCTCCAGGAGCAGCTGCAGCGCTTCATGTCCATGAACGAGGACCTGCGGCACAAGGTGGCCGTGGTGCAGGCGCAGCTCAAGAGCGCGCTGGAGAAGAAGTCGGACCTGGAGGCCGTCGTGGTGCAAACCCAGAGGGAGATGAACAGGAGGAGCAGGGCTGCCGCCGAGGCACCGCAGCCGAAGCCCAGCACGGTGAGCTGGCACCCGCGGGGGACTCGGAGTGGCCGAGGAGGGGTTGTCATTTGCCACGCGTGGCAGTGGGAGGTGAGAGCAGGGCTTTAGGGTCCGCGTCCCCCTGCTCACCCTCTCCGTCCCCCAGGAAGGAGCGCCGCTGCCTGACGAGGAGCCCCAGCCCCGGGATGCGAGCAGGAGCCCCGCTCACTGCTGCTTCTCCAAGGAAGAGCTGCAGCAGATCCTGCAGGAGCGGAACGAGCTCAAGACCAACCTGTTCCTGGTGCAGGAGGAGCTGGCCTATTACCAGCGGTGAGCCCTTCCCTGGTGGCACGGGGAATCGAGCTGGGTGCCTCCTGTCCCCATAGCACCCCTCGGCTGCTCTAGGTAGGATTTCTTTGGTTAACTACCGAATTCTCTTCTCCAGGGAGCTGCTGAACGAAGACAGAGTTCCCAGCTTCTTCCTGAATGCAATGAAGTCGACAATCAAAAAACAGAAAAGGAAAATCCGAGCCAAAATGCTGGGGACGGCGGAGGAGTCGGCGAGCAGGTGAGTCCGGCTGGTCCGAGGACGGGGAGGTCTCCGGAGCGGGGTGGCTGCCGGCCGGCTCGGTGCCTCCCTGCGCTGTGACACCTTGCGAGGGAACTCCCCAGGGCTCCCTGCTTCGCCCCTGCCCGCTTCCAGAGATCAAAGGTTTATTGTCTGTGCTTGATGTCTGGCTCTGGCTCAGCCCTGGGAGTGCTGCAGGGGCTGGGCTGCTCGCCGCTCGCATGTCCCTGTCACCTGTCACACGCCTGCTCCCTGGCCGAGTGCCACTCGTCCCTGCGTGGACGGTGGCGGTGCTGGGACCTCCGGGCTGGTCCCTGCACTGCGTGCTTGGAGGCCACCCAGCAGAGAGCCCTTGAAGATGACGGTAGAGATGTTCCCTGGAGGCTCTGCCAGATTTTTGTGGGCAGTGCTGGCTCCAGCAGACTCCTCGCCACGGGGAGGGGAAGGGACCCTCCGAGTGCTGCCCCTGCTCGAGGCAGGGGGCTAAGCCTGAGCTGAAGCTGCTCCTGTGGCATCAGGGGGACGCCTGGGGACGTATCTCACTGGCTTTTGGGGCTTCAATAAAGGTCTGAAGGGGGCTGAGCTCTTCTGTGCCATTGAAACCTGCTGCTGCTGCTTGCGCTGGGGGCTCCTGGCGGGGGGGACCCAGGCACAGAGGGGTTTGTACAACCTGGAGCAGCCTGAGAGCGCTGCGGGGCTGGAGCTGAGGCTCCCAGCGTGGCCCCTTCCCAGCTCTGGCAGCCTCCTCGGGCAGGAGGAGGTGGTTGGTGCTGCTCGGAGCTCCGGGGGGCTGGGAAGGGCAGGGATGGGATGCTCACGGTGCTCCTGGCTGGGACCTTGCCGGGCCAGGCCGCTCAGGGTAGGGATGGGTCCTCCCCACCTACCCGAAACCTTTTTACGTGCAGCCTGCAGTGCCCTCGGAGAGGCAGAACGGGATTTTCAGGAGCGCGGGGGTTCCCCCAGCTCCGCACAGCTCGTTTTTCCTCCTGCTAAAAATGCTGCTCGCTTGTGCACCTGGGGGGAGCCGCACGCTTTGCTCACACCCGGACAGCCACCACCAGGCGAGCTCCTGCCCTGCAGCCCTCTTTTGGGGCTCACCCCCTGTCCTGCAGGGCCTGCCTGATCCCCATCGTGTCCCCAAGGTCCAGTTGTCACAGCCCCTGGGTGTGCTGGGGGCTCTGCAGGGCTGGGGACATCCCCCCGGCAGTGGCTGCAGGTCCCTTGAGCACCGTGCCAGGTTTTGTTGCCTACAAACTTGTGCGTGGGCTGCGGCTCTGCTGCCCTGGCAATGTGGGACCAGCGTCTGCTGACCAAGCGCCGAGGGTTTGGAGCTGATATCTGAGAGCTTTGGGGGCTGAGGGCACGGCGCTGGGGCTGTGCTCGCCACGAAACTGCAGCTGTGGGGTGTGAGCATTGCTGTGGCTGCGGGTGCCAAGGGCTTGGAGAGCAAACATGGGACGGAGCGGGCTGGGAAGCAAGAGGAAAAGATGGGTGCGGGTCCGTCCCACCAGGCAGCGATGGAGACCTGAAATAAGAGGCAGAAAATGCCAGGAGGGCTCTCCCTGGGCTGCTCCTGGGGCACAGCCAGGGCAGAGGAAGGGGTGGCTGCCTGTTACGCATGGTGCTGGGGCGCAGAGGGGTGCCTCGGGGGCTCTGGTGCTCTCCGTGTGTGACTCAGCTGAGTTTTTGTCCCTTCCTTTGTGCTGCAGCGAGGAAGACGAGGGCTCCTGGCTCCCGGCTCGCAGCGCAGACTGTGTGGATGGCCAGCCTCCCGAATCCAAAATCAGGAGCTTGTAAGTTCCCTCCCATCTCAGGCACTGGTGGGGACAGGGTGGCTCTGCTGGCAGGGAGCATTTTTTGGGCTCAGCCGTGGACCCAACACCAGCCGAGCTCGGTGCCTGCCCTGGGGTGCTGCCGCAGAGCGGGGCTGCTTGGTTTTGGGGGATTTCTCTTTCCCTGTGCAGGCACAAACCCTGCTGCCTTTTGGGGGCTGCCACACTGCTCAGGGTGCTCGCAGCCGGGCATGCAGAAGGCCGGCTGGGATCCGGCTGCATCCCTGGGAAGCTTTCCTCCCCCACACCCCTTATCTGCTCTCTCTCTGCAGCTTCGGGCTGTGGTATCAGGGCAGCAGCAACGACCCCCCCGCTGCCAGCTGCTCCGGAGCCTGGGAAGTCATCGAGTCACCCGAAACGCAGCTGGAGGCGGTGGGAGAGGACGGGCAGGCGGGCAGCCCGCACACAGCATCGCCGCCCCTCTGACCCCGCTGCAGCCGACACCCCCAGGAGCTGCGTGGGCACAGAGCAGTGGGGGCAGCCGGGGGGGCTCAGCACCCATGGGTGCTGCTCCCTGCTTGCAGCTCCACGGGTGTCTGCACCCGCTCCGTGGGCACCACCCAGGGGCCCGTTGCCCCCATTTTCCTTCCCCCCCAACCTTTCCAACCCTGCCTCCCCTTATCCCTGCAATGTGAAGAAGGAGGAAGAGTGCCCGGGGCTGCCTGGGCGCTGTCCTGCGGGTGCCCACCCCGGGCTGAGCACCCTGCACTGCCGAGGGCTGGGTGTCTGTGCGCTCAGGAGCCGTGGGGCTGCGGCGCAGCGAGCACCCCTCGTGCACCTTTCCGACGTGGGGTGAATCCATTCTGTGCCAGGGACTTGTTCCTGCTGCTGGCAACTGGAAAATTTGGGCGATCCCAGTGCTCGTGGGGGGTACGGGGGCCCTACAGGCAAGGTACTTCCTCAATCTAGAACTGGAAACAGAAATAAACGGGGCGCTCGTTCCTCCGACGAGGCACCCGCCACAACCTTTGCTCTGTCTTTGCTTTTGGGATTTTGGGAGCTGTTCCCCGGGGAATCTGTGGCTTTTTTTGTGTGCTGGTGCAAAGGGCTGCAGCCTGCTGCACGGTGCCAGAGCCCCTGCGGGGGGCTGGCTTGGGGACAGTGGCAGTGAGGTGTGCTCCAGACACCCCAAATGGCCAGCGGGTGACCTGCGATGGGAATTGGGGCTGCTCAGGCACAGAGGAGTTAAATCCTGCGTGTTGGGGGGAGCAGCACCACGCTTCCAGCCTGGATTCCACCCCCCCTGGCCGGCCAGGCTTGGGTAGGAAAAAGGTGTTTCCTGTACATCTGCTGACACAAAGCTCCTGGGGAGGCGGGCGGTGGGACAGTGGCCAGCGGTGGCCGTGGGCCCTGGCCCCCGGCTGGTTCAAAGGGCAGCGTGGGGCCCGCTGTGTGCCCGGGGGGGACGTGGGGACCCCGGGGGGGACAGCAGGAGGAGAGGGGGCGGATGGATGCCTCAGGTGGGGTGGGGGACGTGGCCTGAAGCAGCTTTGGGGGGCGATGGAGCAGGTGAAGGGGAGATGCTGGGTGGGTGCCCTTCCCCGCGGGGGGTGCTGAGTCCCCGGCCGCCCGTTTTTTTGGCAGCGAAAGCCAAAAATAGCCCCCCCAGGGGCATTCCCAGCTCCTTCCTTCCCTGCGCACCCCCTGACGTGGGATCGGGGCGCCTCCTCCCGCGTTTCCTCAGGAAGAAACCCAAGGCTGGCAGGAGGAAGAGGCCGAGCCGCGGGAGAGGGACGGGACAGGACGGACAGAAGGACGGACGGACGGACACGGCCCCGGCACGATGGCGAGCGCCCGGCCGCTGCTGTGCCTGTGCCTGCAGCTGTGGCTGTGGGTGCAGGGCTCTGCCCAGGAGCTTGACCCCGACGGCAGGAACGTCTGCAAGGCGGACAGGTGGGTGCCACCACCGCCCCGGGACCCTTGGGTGGCAGCAGGGGGGGATCCTCGGTCCGGCCTTCCATGGACGGGGAGCTGCAGCCCGGTGCTGCGTGGGCACGGGGAATAGGACGGTGCTGGGGGGCTCCAAGCCCTCAAATCCCTTCTCCATGGGGTTATTTCTCACGTACCAAGAGAGTATGGGGGCAATGGTGGGGCTTTGGGAGCATTGGAAATATTTCTAACGCTCACCAGGGCAGAAACATCCTGGCAGCAAATCCTAAATAGCTCTGGGAGCTGATATCCCTGCCCGTTTGCTGCTATTTTGCCTTGTTCATTGGTCTCTCCGTCAACACCGTGCTTTGTTGCCATTTTTTGGGGTCACCAGCACGCCTCTGAGCCTCTCCCAAGGTGTCAGGGCCCTGGTTTTGGGCTCCGTAGCCGCGGTGTTGGCAGCACCGGGCGCGCCTGTCCCGGCACCAGCCCCGCGGCCCACGCTGGCTGCAGCGTCTTAAATTTCCTTCTATTTTCCCAACTTCCTTCCGGAGCAAAGCCCCCGGGGCCTCGCGGCTTCCCCGTGTGCGAGACTGAGCCCTGGGGGGGGGGAAACACCCCGCTTTAGCTTCATGTTAGCCAAAGAGCCCTGAAGCTGAACACAGACGTACCCAGCCCCGGTCCCCATCTGATGTCCCCCCCGGTCCCCATCTGATGTCCCCTCTCTGTCCCGCAGCCCCCCCGCGGGCCTGGCATGCTGCCCCGGCTGGAAGCAGGAAGGGCGGGAGTGCACGGCTGGTAAGCCTTGGATGGATGACACCCAAAATCCTCGTCCCCACGCTCGGCTGGGAGTTTCCTCCACACCATCGGCCCCGCAGTGCCGTGGAGAGCCCCCAGCTGCCCACCGAGCGGGGTGCTGATGGTGGAGAGGGGGGTACCAGCCCACTGGGGGTGCGGGAGGTGCTGGGGACCACGCGTGGTGCCACCCTGGTGGGGTTGGCACACCCTGATGTGCCCCGACAGCGCTGTGCGAAGGCGAGGACGCCTGCGGGCCGGACGAGGTGTGCGTGAGACCGGGGCTTTGCCGCTGCAAACCCGGCTTCTTCGGCGCAGACTGCAGCTCCCGTGAGTGCTCCCCACCTCCGCCAGCCTTCCCCAGGAATCACTTCCCTGTGATTCCTCACCCTTCTTTCTACCTCCCCTATTTTTTTCCCCCCGCAGGTTGCCCGGCGCAGTACTGGGGCCCCGACTGCAAGCAGCGGTGCCCGTGCCACCCCGGCGGGACGTGCGAGGCGGCGAGCGGGCGCTGCACCTGCCACCCCGATCGCTGGGGCGAGCTGTGCCAATTCCCTTGCCAATGCGGGCCCCATGGCCGCTGCGAGCCCCTGACCGGTGCCTGCCGCTGCGAGCCGGGCTGGTGGTCACCCAGCTGCAAGAAGCAGTGCCAGTGCAACGCCGCCAACTCGCACTGCGACCCCCTGACCGGGCACTGCCACTGCCTGCCGGGCTGGTGGGGCAGGAGGTGCAGCTTCAAGTGCTCCTGCAACCTCTCGCCCTGCACCCAGGAGACGGGCAAGTGCGAGTGCAAGGCTGGGTTTTGGGGGCTGGGGTGCCAGCGGCGCTGCGACTGCTTGCACGGCTCCTGCAACCCCCTCAGCGGGCACTGCAGCTGCGTCCCCGGGTACCAGGGCAGGAGCTGCCGGGAGCCCTGCCCGGCGGGGAAATACGGGTCGCAGTGTGTGCACAGGTGAGCTGGGGGCACTACGGGGGGGAAAATCAACGGGGTACATCCGTCCCTTTGGCTGGATGGGGAGATATATTGGGGAGGGGGAGGTTTGGGCAGCCCTGGTGGGATGCAGCATTTTTTTTGGGGGACGGGGAGGATGCTGAAGCCTCGCCACCCCTGTGCCCGTGCAGCTGCGGGAACTGCAAGCGCAGCCAGCCCTGCTCGCCCGTGGATGGCTTCTGCCTGGCGTGCCAGCCCGGCTGGAACGGGACCCTGTGCAAGGAGCGCTGCGCCCCCGGCTTCCACGGCGAGGGCTGCCTCCAGCCGTGCCCCCGCTGCCGGCACGGGGACGCCTGCGATGCGGAGACCGGGTCGTGCCTGCACTGCGAGCCCGGCTGGATGGGACCCAGGTACCCCCCTGCTGCCTCCCAGGTGCAGGTCCTGGTGGGGGTCCCAGCACCCTGACGCCTCCTCGCTTTGTCTCGGCAGCTGCAACAGCTCCTGCCCCGCGGGCACCTTCGGGGACGGATGCCAGTTCCTCTGCCCCGAGTGCGTTTGGGGGAGCTGCGACCCCGTATCGGGTGCCTGCCTCTGCCAGGCCGGCTACTGGGGACCCAGGTAACGTGGGGAGTGGGGCAGGGCTGGGACCCCCCATCCCCGGGGGCATTTCCCCTCCTTTCTTCTCTCTTCCAGCTGTAACGACACCTGCCCGGAGGGGTATTTTGGCGTGAATTGTTCCTCCCCGTGCCAGTGCTCCCGAGGGCCCTGCCACCCCGTGCGGGGTGACTGCGCGCTGAGTAAGAGCAGCCCCACTTTTCCTCCTCCATCCAAACGAGGGGGGGCCGCAGCATCCTCCCCAGGGGACGGGGATGTCGTGGTGCAGCCACGGACACCCCGATCCCGTTTTCCCCGTGCAGGTCTGGACCCCGGGGCTCTGGCTGCCGCCATCCTCGTCCCTCTCCTCCTGCTGCTGCTCTGCGTTGTCTGCTGCTGCTGCAGCGCCGGCCCCGCAGATGCTAGAGACAGGTGGGTGTGAGGGGCCCCTTAGTGCCAAATCCCATCCTTTTGGTGCCTTCATGCCCCTGTTCCTGCGCAGGGCGGCCGTGCCGGACGACGACGTGGTGGCCAGGATGAAGCACCACGTGCAGGGGGTGCTGGCAAACCTCAGCGCGATGCTGCCCTGCTTCTCCCTGGGCGGCTACAAACTTCCCAAAGTCACAGGTGAGGAAAGCGGGGCCGCCGATGGCCCTTTTTGGGGGGGATCCCACAGGGCGGGTGATGCTCTGCGCCCCCATGACCTCAGCTTGTTGTTTTCTCCCCCCCAGTTTCCCACCACGACGCAGAAATCCCCTTCAACCCCAGCTTCATCGAGTCGCCCTCGGCCGCCTGGGTTTCGGATAGCTCCTTCTCCTCCTTCGACACCGACAACGAGGGACCCGAGTACTCCGTCCCTCCCAGAGAAGGTGACCCACGAAGCTGCGCCTCCCCTCCCCGCAGCCTTTCCGTGCTGCCCCAACCCCGTCCCACCCTTTTGGAGTCCTTGGGCTCCCCGAGGATGCTGGGCGCAGCCTGCCATTTATTTTTATTCCCTCATTTCCCTCTCCCCAAGGCCGTGCTTGGTCTCGTGCACTGGGACGTGCCCGGCGTGGGCACAGCCCTATTACAGCCGCACCCCCGAGCCCTGACGCTCGCCCCCTTTTCCCTCAGGTGTCCCGCTGCTGGGGGGGGCCGAGCTGCAGGACGGGGCCTCCCCCCCGGGTGAGGCGCTCCCAGACCCGGCCGCCTTCAGCTCCGATGATGTCTCGCAGCCCTTCGCCATCCCCCGCACCTCCAGCATCGCCAAGGCCAAGCGGCCTTCTGTCTCCTTCGCCGAGGGGACGAAATTTGGGGCGGCGGAGACCCCCAGCCCCGGGCGGAAGCCCAAGACCCCATGGGGGGCGGCCAAGCTGTCCCCCACATCAGGGGAAGCAGGGGATGAGTCCCCCGCCGAGCAGCCGGCCAGCGATGGCTACGAGAGCCCCGATCCCCTCGCCAAGGGGGACGAAAGCCACCGGCCATCGCCTCGGGCCACCCCGGGGGGCCGCCGGCGGGTGGTCTCCGGCACCAGGCACGTGGCCCAGAGGGTGGAAGCCCTGGAAGCGGCCGCCAAAAGCGGCAGCTGGGACGCGAAGGGGAAGGATCCCAACGTCACCACCATCTACATGATGGTGGGGACGGCCGGGCAGGACCCCAAAGCCGAGGGAGGTGGCGAGGGACCAGTCCAGGCCGTGCTGAAGCGGCTGGGGAGCCTGCAGAAAGGCAAGTGGGCCGCCAAGGAGGAGCCCAAGGTGCGGAGGAGCGTCGAGGCCATCCAAAAACCTCCCCGCCGGGCC